AAATGATATATGCTATAGGAATCCAATGCCTCGTCCACCCGCCGACGCCCGACGAGCTCGTCTTGACGTGGGAGGTCTGGGCGGTCCTCGCTGCGTCGTTCGGCATCGACGGATACGTGCTCTCGCGCGCCGTTCGGGAGCTGCGCGCGACCAAGCCCAAAGACGTCTCGCTCTACGAGCACGTCAAGACGATCAAGGACCCCTTCATGATGGCCGTGCTCCTCGAAGACCTCGCGGCGTGCACGGGCGTTGTGATCGCGCTTGGCGGTATCGGCGCCAGCTACGTCACCGGCAACCCGTTCTGGGACAGCGCGGCGAGTATCGGGATCGGCTGTCTCCTAGGCGGCGTCGCCGTCTCGCTCATTCGCATGAACCAGCGCTTCCTTTTGGGCCAGTCTGTCGACGCGGGTACGTGACCTGCGATGGTGTGATATTCTATCCTGTCGCGTAGAGATCGAGCAAGGCATCAAGGCCCTTCTGCTCTCGCGGCCGTCCATCGACAATGTGTACGCGGTGCAGTCGCAGTGGGTCGGGCCGTCCACGTTTAGCTTCAAGGTATGTGCATCTCGCCATCCTTTTTGGTCACTGAAGGAGATACCTACTAGGCGGAAGTCGACTTTGACGGCACGTACATGGCGGCGCAGCTGCTTGAAATGTACGTCGCGGCCCACGCGCATCGGTTGAAATAGAGGCGCGTAGATACAAACCCGTGTTCCTCGAGGCCAAGGACCTCAAGGCCGACCTGCCGCTTCTCCTTGCGTGGTACGCTGAAGACGTCACGCGCCTCGTCGAGAAGGAAGTTCAGGAAGTCGAGGCCGAGATTCGGTACATGTCTCATGTGGATGTTTGTCGTCATGCAGAATTGTGCCTAGAGCGCTCTACCCGGAAGCTGCGTTCATCGAGCTCGAGCCAGATAGTAAAGACACGGACATGCGCGCGCTCTCCAACCTCGGCACCAAGTCGTTCCGAACCAGCGAGCGTGAAGCCATGTCCCGGGCGCTCGCCCACCTGGCTCGGTCACTGGAGCGGAGTCAGTAGCTAGTAGACCCGACTCTCGTAAAGAAACAAGAGGCGATTTGATGGTAGCTTTGCTCGCTATCGAAGCAATGCATGGAGTGGTGGCTCACGACTGCCATAGCATTCTTCCACGTGATGAATGATCGGCATGGTGGCGATCTACAAAGCACATCCGAGACCATCCATCGCAAGAGTGAGCCGCACGAGCTCGACTCGAAACACTTCGTGCCAGTGTACTGCACTGTAGAGGTGACAACCGTCGCGCACTTCTGTGGACTGCGCAGTCGGATCGGTCGCGTGCGCCTGGCCGTGTGCCGATCGATACCTTGATAGTCGCTTGATACATTGACGAGGTACACGCGAAGACCTGCCACACCAAGTCCTGATCGCTAATCGGATCGTTGACGAGTCGCTGCTGAGGAAACTGCGGACTGAATGCCATGCGACGACGGTGGGTGCCTCAACATACGCAGTACAACGGGCGTTGTCGCCTTCCGCGCCGGCCACCGTCCGTGGTGCTACCCAGTTCTGGCAATGGGTCGTCAGCAACATGCTCGGTCGCCGCCAGTGCGCGCACAGAGCGCTGCCGAGTCACGTCATTCCAGTGTATCTACTCAAGAAGGTTGTCATTATTGCATGTATCTTCACCCGATGCAATACAGGCTCAGAGCACGCAACTCGTCGCCACTGGCCATTCTGGTGCACCACCTGCAACGTCGCTGGACAGCTGACGGAACAATTCCTGCTGCGCGCTTCAGTGGTTGGCGCCCGCGCCACGAGCAGCGGCAAGTAACCTCGCCTTTCTCGAGCCGTTTGGGTACGCACCCATGTGATGCGTGATTTTAGCCACATCATGTTACCGTCATTTTCGCGATGGACGTGACGGAAGCGTCGCCGCTGCTTGGCCCTGACGGCCTCGAGAAGGCGTCTACCTCGGTCCTCCGCGATGAGCTCGCGCAGCTCCTCACGCTCATGTACCCCGTGGTACGCCATGCATGCTTGCGCATACGAGGATGATCTCGCCCGCATTAGACGTTGACGTTCTTCCTCGAGTATGCGCCCGGCATTGCGACGCTGCTGCTCGTGGGCCACTACCACGACCCGATCGATGCGTCCAAGGATAAGCTCCTCCTCGACGCAGCGGCGATGGCGATCATGTACCTCAACCTCACGGGGCTCACGATCGGCCTCGGGCTTGCGTCTGCGATGGATACGCTCTGCTCGCAAGCCTTTGGCGCCCACAAGCTGCATGAGATCGGTATCTTCTTCCAGACCGGCGTCCTCGTGCTCGGGTTCGTCCATCTTCCTTGATCCTATACGTACGATGCGCTTACGGTAGCGCCGCCATGGTGCCCATCGCGCTTCTCAACTGGAACTGCGCGGCCATGCTCGTCTGGTGGCGCCAACCCGAAGACATTGCCGCCGACGCCGGCGAGTTTACGCAAATCATGCTGCTCGGCTTACCCTTCCTCTTCCTTTACGAGCTCCTCAAGAAGGTGCATCCGACGAGGAGGACTGCAAGGCTGATGGCCATGCGTAGGTGCTGCAAGCCCAAAACATTGTGCTCCCGATGCTCTACTGCGCGATCGCGGCCAACCTCCTCAATATCGGCCTTGGCTATATCTTGGTGTACCACACGTCGCTCGGATACGTCGGCGCCGCCGTCGCCCGGAGCGTCGCCAACGCCTGTTTGCCCGCGACGCTGCTCTTGTACCTGCGCATATATCCTTCGGCGTGGTCGTCGTGCTGGCCAGGTCTCTTGCTTGCA